GAATGAAGTTATATTTCACCTTTGTATGTATGGAAACTTTTGCGACACCCTGTAAATACAAGAAACACAAAATTACAAGACCTTATTTTTCTTGAAATCTTATACTTTAATAATTCGTGTAAACGGATAGGATATATAACTCAGCTTATTTTATTCAGCAAATGAATGGGACTGACATACAGTATTTAGTTTTATAACTGATCTACATAAAATTTAGTATATAAGTAATAAAATTAATTAATTATTCAAAAGACAATATTTTTTAATTTTAAATGTATCCAATTTTACATACAGGGTTCCTACTCACCTGGAAAGTTAAAGATTTTCATTAGTGTTTGATAAAGTCACGGAAAGTCGGAATTTGCCGCGCTTGTCTTTTTTTTTTTTCCTGACAATATGGCTGATCAAGTATAGCTGTCTGCAGGCAACAAGAAGTAATGTGGTACAACATAACTTCTGACCCCTTNTATAATTAAATTTCGATGGTTAAAGATCGAGAAGATAGGGAGATAAAGGAGTCGCGTGCAATATCTCGAGTAGGGTCGGACTTAATGACGATTTTGCTCGTTATTAGAATCTAGGAAAGGGGTTCATTTTTGAAAGATCGCCGTATTTTCCCCCTGTTATATGTAACAGAGCTGGGAAAGTAAAAAGCAGTAAACATTGATTTAATTTTTAATATTAACTAGAATTTTAAAAAAAGATATTTAGTAATGTAATTTCACGAATTAAAATCCGCGTGAATTCTAAATTGTAATTAAGAACTCACCAAACAAAACTTCTTTTGTGTGAAGTCACAAAAGAAGTCGTGCATCTTTGGAAACACGAAAGTGTAGAAAGGAGGAGCAGGAGCAGAAACGAAGAGAAAAATGTCATCTTAACAAATTTTTAAAACATTTCATAAATAGCTTTAACATGTCTGGAAAATAAACATTACAAGCGAATGAATCACAGTGAATGCTGAAATTGTGCAATAACGTGTTAAGCAGGTTTCTCAGTGTTAACACAGCAATATGCATTGTATCCTCTCCAGAGCGTGAATAAACAATAGGAAGCATACAGTAGCATGCGTTAGCACGAAATATACAACAGTAATCGCGTTCAGTTTGGAGTATTGATGTGCACCAACCTAAACGAGAGGGTGCAGATTAGTGTCTCGAGAGTGTGCACCGACAGCACCGAAATGAAAATCAGTACTCTATGGCCATCTCGAAATGGAATAACCCGAACACGCGCCAGTTCATGAATTACCAACCTGAATGCCACTAATATCTGCAACGTTCAGACTACACATAATATGGGATTTAGCGAAAAATACAGAAATATTCGGTGATCTGGCCCCGTAGGTGTCGGATTAACGAACTTCTACTGTATCGTACATTATGAATGAATAGATAAAAAAAATACGCACCATTTTAATCGTCTTCGATTAAAATTTCAATTGTAGAATCATTTAAATCCATAGAAAAGGCCAATTCGTGTGTAAATACACGAAAAACTAAATTATTTTCGTAAACTGCGTCGTTACATTTTGGAAAACAGACGGTCTTTCTCGTTTTCATTACAACCCACGCACGATTAGTCATGCGTTAAAACAAGTTTTACGTAGGGTAATTACTTTTTTTTTGGAAAATTACAAATAAAACTTAAAATAATTTTCAAGTAAATATTTTAAAGTCAGAAAAAAATAATTTTTAAATGTTATAAATAATTATTAGTGAGAATTACGTACAGTACGGATTATATTAATTAAATTATCAACAACCGTGAGGCAGGTAATAGTGAGGGAACGAAAAAAAACCCAAAATGCATTTCGGACTATTTTACGATAGAAAACATTCCCTCATCAGTTGGTAAAGGTTTTAATATATTTAAAATTATACAAGGTAAAGATAAACTTAAAACTATGCCTAAAGCTATACAATATAAAGATGAAAACGCCGTTATAACTGTGAGCAGTAAGCATTATCAGTACAGACAGGTGTAATAAATCTTCAAACGTTGCAGGGTGACGTGACGTACAGGGTGCTGATACAAAACAGTTATAAGTTAGCCAATTATTGGTTTACAGTTATGAACTAAAGTTATACAGACTTACTGTTTTTGGTTATGTACTGTACATACCAAAAACAGTAAAACGACAGTGTTGCAGGTGTAGGCATTACAACAAGATGCTGGGAGCGGTAGTTAGGGAGGTGTGTAACAGTCTACATATGATACAATTACAAGTTTACAACAGTTTTTAATTAATTAAGAATATATAGTCGTAACATCACAAAGATAAAATGGGTGTGTTTATTTCATAAAGAACTAGGAAGGTATTTATGGATTACTAAAATCACCTTAACTTAGGCCAAGGGGATCTGGAATAGAATCTGGGCAGGCGACGAACTCCCAAAGAAGAATTTTTCGTTAGTGGTCTGTCCCGGATATGTCGAGCCAGTTGTCTGACTCCGTTGTGGCCAAATCCACGATGAGTATGAAAAAAAAGCTCTTTTAATGTCTACAGGGCGGAATGTTTTATATTTTTAGGGCCGCTTAACGTTTCTGTATTGTAGCAACGAATAATTAGACCAATAGAATAGTAAGTCATTAGGTCACGTACAATTATGTCAATTTCAACTTGCAGTGGGAAATTTAATATGGCGGAAAAAGACAGTAAAAGGAATGATACGAATTTATAGGTATTTGTAAAAACAGATATTGCTTATACTGTATGATGGCAGCAAAATTTTTCTGACGGACGGGAATAATATATTTGGCCATGGACATCCCCATTTTGTTGGAATCATTTCGTTACCACTGATTTTTAAGTTAGTCTTTGGAACTCTCAGTGTTCCCAGTGAACTGTAACAGTGTCAACTTTGAAATTGAAAAAGCAACTTGTAAGTGCTTTTTCAATTTCTTTCCTGAACAACCCACGTTCCGTGGACATCCGTTATTCATTCGGGATGGCATGATCCTGTTGGAACGTACTGTACATTGAATGTACAGTACGTTCAATGTACAGTACATTGAACGTACTGTACATTGAATGTACTTAACTGTAGCTCGAAATCGTGATTCCCACTTTTCCTTCGTAGTCGTGGTACTGTAGAAGTAGGGGAAAGTGGAAATTGGCTCTTTCCGAATAGTAATACAGCAGACACAAAAATTTCCATATAAACATAATTTATAAGATCTGTTCTTTCATATGAGATGCATAAAAATGCATAATGAATTACACTAAAAACAATTATTTACATTTTCTTCCATAAAGAAAGAAAGAAAATTTGTAGTGGAAAAATTCCACTACCAAATTCAACGGTTTCATCCATTGGCGGGCCATTAAGAAGTATAACATGACATACGTACAGTATATATCTGTCATGTTATACATTTTTAAGTAAAACAAGCAATTATTGTGACATGGTCACAATACCGGGCTGCAAATTTTAATCATATTTTTAGTGTATTTAACTTAAAATATACGCTCTTTACCTCAATTAGTAGTGGGTTGCCCCTGTGTATCATACTTTTTCCTTTAACAGCAGAGTCGTGCCAGTCATCTCATTAACTGCATTTAGGGGAAAAGTTTGAATTGAAATAACGTTACTATTGTTAGAAAACGGAAGTTCGTATATAGTTAATCTAGACTTTTTACTTCTAAAGTTTCCACATCTTGTCTCGGCTTTCATCTGCCTAACTCGATATTAAGGAAACGGACGGATGGCGGTGGTAATATATATATATATATATTTATTTATTTAAGAATCAAGCAAAGCATCCTGAAACCATTTGTAATCGGTTAGGTACTGTATTAATCACGCAGTAAGTGCTATCTTTTGCCCTATGTACGAAGCAATATGTGCTTGTGGGGAAAGATGGAATGCCATATTTCTTCACCCAGAATGCACGTGAAAATAGATCCCTGTACACTTATTTCATACTTATACATTCATTACTTGCAATGAAATAAGTTTTTATTGCGTATACATTTATGTATTATATATGAATCGAAGTGTGAGGGAGTGAAACGCAGATAGGTAACGTACTGTACAGTGTCATACGTACATTGAATTTTTAGACCTAAAATTATCAATGAAAATCACTTTTATAACATGATCATGATGTCAACAGTTCAATGTACAATTTCATTCTTGGTATGTTAGATGATACTGTTTTCTTTGACCTTTGACTTATAATACCTAAAATATAATAGCCTGAATAACCAATACATAAATTTATTCGTTCCTAATTTCGAAACTTTATTTGATTCACTCTGAAATATAATACAAAGTAAATGTCGACATAGAGAATTTTGTAAGGTATTTTATATTTTTGTGCTAATGAAGTGTTAGAATGTCGAGAAATGGGAAAACAATCGGAGATTTTTTTGTATGTATGAATGTTACTGTGTGTTGAGGTGCACGGTTTTGTTCATCATCTTTAAAGTTTAATAACTCCTCTGCTTTTTGTCGAAAATTTCTGAAATTTAGAAGTTTAGTTTATTTATTAGGGGGATAGATGATGTTAAATTTTTATGATTAAAGGTCGAGAGGTTAAAAAGATAATGGAGTCGTGTGTATCTCTAGTAGGGTCTGACTTAATAATGATTTTACTCGTTTTAACATTTACAGTTTTTTATAAAACCCATCTTTATCTTCAAAATTAAGCTTTTCGCTATGTTATAATAGTTAAAAATATAAAAAAATGTTTAACAAAGTATTATAGCAGATAGTGCCACACATAGTTTTAAATGTTTCCGAGAAAGTTAAGCACTCGTTTCTGGTTTATTTAATAATGAAAAGAAGTTTCTAATCATATTTATAATAATTTGTAGGTCTATAACACATCACACCAGTACGCAATGACTTAGTAATCAGAAATAAATGATGTAATAAAACATGTAATTAAATATTGTTATATTAATTAACGAAAATATACTCAGTTTTATTTTATATTTCAAGTATTTTCTTAGAAGCTTTTAACTCGAAAACTTTGTAAATTCCACTACAGATATGAAGAAAGAAGAAGGAAAAAGGAATTATGATGGAGAACATGGTATAAAATCAAAATGTAAAGTTGCTTCGAAAAAATTGAAGATTGAAGTAAAGAGTGAAGATTGTAAAGATGTTCATCTTCCAGATGATAATGAACAAGTAATGGTAAGTAATACAAATTTCGAATCATTTTACATAGTATTAGTGAAATTTTATTATCTTGGTTTTCTGAATGGTTGAAAATGTAGCTCGATATCANATCTACTCGTTATTCACGTAATCGAAATATCTAGTGGGCAGGCGGCTAACAGCCCAGAACCGGTCCTTGATAGAATTGGAATCGTTATATGTGTGCAGCTTCCACCGGCTAAAACGGGTGAGGTTGGTGCTCTGTAAAGCGCATGCGCAAAACTGGCTTTTTGGAATCTGAAAATTTCAGAGATTCCACTCCGCCACTAATATTCGAATATACAAAAGCAATTTTTTTTTCGACTTGTAGTATAGAAATTTGTAATAAGATATATAATGCGGTTATAATAAAATATTGTGCGATTATTTTCATATAATTAAAATTAATATGTATTTATTTTTTAGAAAATACGAGGGAAGCGGCGCTTCCACCGTTTCTAATGACGGCACGCCACTGGAAAATTAACCCGATTTCAATAGTTTCCATTGTTGTGTATTCTAACTTTTTTCATTTGGTAGTTCGAGTATTTCTGTTTTTTTTTCCTGCACGATAAATTAGAGAATAAACAATGAGTTTTTATTTCAGACTCATCGACGGGTTGGTCAGGTCCACAATAGATGCGGCCACGTGTTGAGGAAGATGGCCCCACATACAAGCATGCCTCAGATATGCCAGGCCCTAGGCAAAATTTACTTTGAGGCCGATTAAAACGTCGACTTTAGAATTTATTTCTCAAACACTGCGTAGATATTGATTAGATAAACACAAATTTCAACAAAATAGAATAATAAAACTAGCACAACAGTTTTACAACAAATTGAAAAATTTAATAGATGTAAATATCTTTCCTTATAGAACTGCTCTCCTGGCATTTAGCTGGGCTAAATTACTTTATAAAAACATAGATCTGTAGCTAAATAAGCCGACATCATTAGCAATATATTTTTCAATGGAAAAGATGGCAAGCGAAGATTCTCGCTTGATATTTTTCTAATTTTCCAAAACGACTAAATAATTTTTACAAAATTTTCAAAAGATAAGTAATTTTAATGCAACTTTTTAATATGTATATATGAAATAAAAATATAACGAATTTGTAATTTATAAATGAGTAGTGATAATCACTTTCATATTACCTTCCCGGCTGTTATATGTAACATGGGAAAGTATAGCGATCGGTCAAAAAATGAACCACCAAGATTTATACCCTTAAAATTCATTTGTTTGCCTTTATATAATAGTTAAAAATATCATATTTTATTTAAAAAACGTTTTATAACAGATGGCGCCACCAAAATTTCAAATGTTGCCGGGAAAGTTCAGCAACTCGTCGCTGGTTTATATATTACAAGTGATTATAAGTGGTTGTTACGTATTCTCTGTATATTGTTTAGCCTGTCAACAATGGATTCTTCACTCCGGACAAAAACTTTAACAAGGATGAAATAAACATCCAAAGTAAGTAACGTGTTACTTAATTCAGACTTTTTATATTAGTAGAGGAGAAGGTGGTATTATGGAACACTGCGGGTATTATGGAACCACCCCATTTCGAACTGATAATAAAAGCGGAATGTGGCTGAACTGAACTAGGCAGACATCCATAGCAAGGGGAAAACCCGTTTTACTTTGGTTAAACGGTTGTCCGCATTTAATCAGCAAATTTGTTTTTTTCAAAATTCGCAAGTTTTGAATGCTAAGTGAATTTAATTACAGTAGAACCTCCATTATCCGGATTTTCGATTATCCGGATTGATCAAAATAAACAAAAATTTTACGAATTTGCTGTTTTGCACCTGGCGAATTACAACACTGTTTATGTACGTGATGGAATGCATAACTTTTTTTGTTTCAACAACGTCTCACCCATCACAGTGGTCGTAAACTCTTAAATATATTTTACGTAGTAATAAAAATATAACTTGACATACGTATTTATAAATAATTTATATTCAAATTACATCATTTCTATGACCAAGGGCGGCGTAAGGCATGGAC